CTCAGTCGACAGAACCGACGGCGGCGATTGCCGCTGCTCAATTCTGGTCGCTGACCGATGATGAGGTGGAGAGCTCTGCATGTTTAATAGTAAGCGGTGGTCTAGTTCCCACGCGTGTCTTATGGACGCTGCTGGCTGAGGGTCTACTCGGGGTCTCATGTGTTATGGCATCGTTAAATGGCACAGGCAGCGCACGTTATGTGCCTGCTGGTCGCTGGCGTGGACCACAATGCGATCGGCTCGTACCATGCACTGCGTCGTAACGGAGGCTTCTGTCAGATAGTGCGTCCAAAGGTGGTTGGATACGCGAAGGATCGCCGCGTACATGGCTCACACATAACACATTGTCGGGCGAGCGAGAACCTAGCCGAGCACAACCACCTCTGTTAGAAAGTATGTTCCCTGCGAGCGTACATGAGAAATACCTATAATAAACCGAGAAGCGTAAAAAGAAACGTAAAATGAAGACACGTATAAACTGAGCGAGGTAAGAGAACGTATATGAGAGATACCGATAGGTACCGCAGCGCCACTAGTTATTCGTAACGAGATGGTCGTAGTAAGCAATCACTGATTCTCGTGTAAAGGATTGTGTAGTCAGCGATTTATTCCATGGAGCTACATACAGGGCCAGGAACTGTGGTTGGGCGCCACAAAATAAATAGACCAAGCAATATTAGCATATACTGATGTAAGCAACTAAACACTACGTGCCAAAACTGCAATACGTAAGCTTGCACGATTTAAGGCATGTTATGAGTTGAGTATCATAGCGATTAAATATGCAAAATTGGCAATAAAGAGAAGAATTACTGCTGTTGTCAGCTTTCAAGTGACAACAAGAAAACCCGAACAGCCGACGCCAGTTCTCACACCATCGCAGGGTTTTGATTGGCAGCCAAAATCGATGCCATGGCAAGTGAAATGAGGGTTACAGAGAAGCATGTGCGAATTAGAATTACATCGAATTGCGAGATTGGCTGTTGCGAATAGTGATTGGCAAATAAAAGCTTTTTTCATGCACTCACCCGTAAGCTCTTACTCGAGATGGGCGCCTTACAGCTTGACAGGGCTTGGCAAATTTACTGAAATTGACGATAAATGTAAGGCAACGAATTCAAAAGAACAGTTTTATGATTTCTCCACACCATAATAGTTAAACAGCACATTTAAATAACTGTATACAACATTGGAATGCTGCTAAGCACGATATGTTATCTAAATTTTAATGCTCTCAAACCTAACCTTTAATCTTGAACGTAACCCTAAGTCTGTCAAACACAACCCTTAAATTAGTTGAATCCCAACGGCTTTAAATGCTGGGCTGACCACAACTCAAAAAATCTAACTTTTGAATCCAACCCATAAATCTAGCTGACCCTGATGCACAGCTGCCGACAGTTGCAACACACACACAGGCAACGATACCCTCGCGCACACGAATGACAGACACACCTACCGATCAGCTGCAGCGCGATGACGACACACCTAAGCGGCCGATCCAGCCGCACGCGATGACAGACACACCTACCGATCAGTGCACGCGATGACAAGACACACCTACCCGATCAGCCTGCACGCGATGACAGACACACTGCTACCGCGATCAGCCGCAGGCGCTTTTATGACAGACACACCTACCGCGAATCAGGCTGGCAACGCGATGACAGACAGCACCTACCCGAGCAGCTGCAGCGCGCATGAGCAGACAGCACCTACCCGATCAGCTGCACGCGATGAGCAGACACACTACCCGATCAGCTGCAACGCGATGACAGGACAGCACTACCGATCAAGCTGCACACTGCGATGACAGACACACCTACGCCGATCAGGCTGCACGCGATGACAGACACAGCGCATACCCGATCAAGCTGCACGCGATGACAGGACACCACCTACCCGATCAGCTGCACCGCGCGATGACAGACACACCAAAAAAAAAAAAAAAAAAAAAAAAAAAAAAAAAAAAAAAAAAAAAAAAAAAAAAAAAAAAAAAAGAAAAAAAAAAAAAAAAAAAAAAAAAAAAAAAAAAAAAAAAAAAAAAAAAAAAAAAAAAAATAGGCCGACAGCTGCACGCGATGACAGACACACGTACCGCGATCAGCTGCACGGCGCGATGACAGACAACACCTACGGCACGATCAGCTGCAGCGGCGAATAGAGCATGACACACCTACCGGCGATCAGCTGGCACGCCGATGACAGACACACGCTAGCCGGCGATCAGCTGGCAGCGCGATTGACAGACACACCTACGCCGATCAGGGCTGCAGCGCGATGACAGACAAGCCTACCACAAATCAGCCGGGCAGCGCGATGACAGACACACCTACCGCGATGCAAGCTGCATCGCGCGATGACAGTACACACCTACCCGATCACTGGGCACGGCGATGACAGACACACCTACCCGATCAAGGCTGCACAGCGGATGACAGACACAGCCTACGCCGATCAGCTGCACGCGAAATGACAGACACACCTACCGGCGCAGATCAGCGCGCAACGCGATGAAAACAGACACACCTACCCGATTCAGTCTGCACGCGATGAACAGACACACCTACCCGATCAGCTGCACGCGATGACAGACACACGGCTACGCCGATCAGCTGCACCGCGAATGAACAGACACACCTAACCCGATCAGCGCGCACGCAGGATGACAGACACACGCTACCCGATCAGCTGCACGCGATGAACAGACACAGTCTAACCCGATCAGCTGCACGGCGATGAACAGACACACC